CCAAGGCCTGGACCTCAGCTCGCCTAGGGAGGGGTCCTGGTGGTGGGTGCGGATCATGCTGGAGCTTCTCAATTTTAACTTGAAAGTGTGGGGGGGGCACGAGGTGAAGACCAAGGGAAGCCGCAATCAAGCAAGCCTCAAGGTCAACAGTCGAAGGCTCCGGCGAAATCAACAGGCCGTCATGGATAAAAACCAACGACCGAGGCTTGACCCTACGGAGTAATTCCCGAACCAGTGTGCGCATGAACGCTGCTTCAATGCCCTCAAGCAAGAAGTAAATGCGGTTGCCATCATGTAGCCCTACGTGAGATCGCAGAAGGTTAGCGTCTGTACACGCACGTAAAAAGGCCGGCTTAGCATTCGCGACACGTCGTAACAGGGCAACCAGCTCAGGGCCTGGGTTAAATCTGTTTTGCTCAAGCATTTGGGTGGCATGTTCAACAGAGCTATTGAGTAAAACAGTGGGCAACAGCTTAACGAGGTGTAAAGCGCTCCGGCCAGCTGGTGAGGCGGAAAGGTCTGCGTGTAAATAAGCCCGAAACTCATCTAGGCGAGGCAGAACCAAGCCTTGCTGCGCAACCATGTGCTGGAAAATAGCGTAATGCGCGCCACACATGTCGATTTCAACATGGTCGCGGTGGAAAAGCGCTGCGCGAACAAAACGCGGAAGCGCGGCTGCACCTTTGACGATCGGATAGGCCCTACCTAAACAATCATCACCATCGATCCGGTACGGGACCTGCTTGAGGACCGTGACCCCCTGAGCATTAGAGCCGACACACGCCCCCCCGGAGGCAATATAAGCTTCAAGCGCAGCGCGGTATGCAGGGTGGTGGGCACGGATGTGCGCAAGATCCTGCGCATGGAATGTGGGGCACTCAACCAGGCAGAAGCTTGAGCGTTCAGAGAGAGCGATGGCTGCGGTGGACTGCCATTCCTCACCTGCCGGGGCAGGGAGGGAAATTGGCAGAGTGGCTTCGTTTCGCGCGGCAGCACTAGCAACGCCAGCGAGGAAGTCTGCTTCTTTATTGGCTTCGCGGGGAACATAGCGCCAAGAGATCCGGGGAAGCTCCGTAGCTGCAATGAGCTGAGCCTGGTGCAGGACTGTGACTAGGGCCGGGCGTCGCACCCGAGCGGTGCGCCTCCAATAACTTAAGATGGAGGAGTTATCCCCAATGATGAGACATTCCTGTACATCGGAATGATTAGGGTAAAGGCTCGCAAGGGCCTGGACCGCGTATGCACTCGCAAAACTCGTGGTAGGAGTCCGGGCAGTCAGAAAGGGGAAGGCCGTTTGGGCAAGGACCTCGTAGTCATCCCCCGCAAACCTTCCGCACAATGACCCCAGCACCTCCAGCCGCGTCAGCCCGATGACAGCTGCCGTCAAAGTGCTACCAGGGCGGTCCACCTCCACGCGCGAGAAGCGCAAATAAGGGGATCGCCAGGCCTCACTACCTGTACGGCAAGTACGTAGGTATGGGCCACCCCGCACTCGCACACCCTTGCTTCAGTGTAATGTTAGGCGTGCCGTGGTGGTAAGCCTGAAGAAGGTGTCGCTCACGGCCGTGTTCCATGACAACCGCAAGCAACGACCCAGGCAAGGCCGACGAATCGCCCTGGTAGGTGAAATGTGGTATCTTAGGTGAGAGTGCATGGAGAGGCGCACCGCGCAAAGCGAACATAATCAAGCCAGACACAGCTACAGTGTCGGAGGGTCCACTAACCAGGAGGGCGCACCCCCATTCTGACATCGCTGGGCAGCAGTGCGGCACAAGTGCGACCAAACAGGCAAGTGCAAAAGATCAAGGGGAGCAGCAGCAGGCGGGTTGCCGCGCTTAGCTGCGAGCTCTCTGCCTGATTATGGCGCGGAGCATGGCAGATTGGGTTCTGGGCCAGTGCGCCTGCGGAAACCAATGAGAAAAGCGCCAAGAGCAACCGAGCAGCAGCGAGCCGGCTACACCTAGACACGCGCAAGAAGACATCCAGTGTTGAACACTGTTATTACCATGGCCCATAGAACACAGGCACGTTGCAACCAAAGGGGATTGCCGGAGCAGCGTGGTAGCGGAATCAAGGTGTCCGTCATGTCGAAGCGCAGGCGGTGAAGGCAACATGACGGGCAGCGAAGGCAATGAGCTAGTATGGACCCAAGGGCAGCAGCCTCTCTGGGTACATGTCGCATCCACTCAATTTCCAGGTGGGCACCCGCGAAAAAGCCACGAGGAAAGAGTTTGATCCACAGACACACCGACTGTCTTGTCCAATGGCGCCGAATGACGAACCAAGTGTCGCTTTCCTCGTCAAAAGCCCACTTGAGGACAGCCTGCGAACAGTAGACGCAACAGCCACACGGCGAGTTAGGAAGGCAATAGCACGCTCTTCCTCAATCAGACCAATATATTTGGCAAGATGGGTCTTCATAGCCGCGGCCGGCTGTCCCCATCCAGGACATGAATTCCAAACTTCACGAATGCGCGGGAAGGCGTAGAGCAGCCTGCTAAGCACACGTCCCAGAGTCTGGGGAGAGCCGTCAACGCGATTCCCAACTCAGGAGGTTCGGAGCCAACAACCGACTGGCCAGCCCGATAACTGCCGTACCAAGCAATCTGAGCGAGCACAGGCGCAATGCGCAAATAGCGCAGTACTTCCGGCAAGGCGTTCATGTCAATCCATACACGCGAAGGATAAAGCGCACGGGCAAGGAGGCGGCGGTGGTTAGTAAATCCTTCAGCATGGTAGCACCAGAAGCAAGAATGCGGGCCCCCCAAGGGGCAGCGTCAGCGACACTGATGTCGTGGCATTGCTAGAACGTAGTAGATGCGTTTTGCATTTGCAGGCGCATTCAACGTCTAAGAGGTGTGCCCAAATGTCTTGGATCCTGACCATCAGTTCAGAACGACGTACATGGGGTCCATGGCGACACAAAATAGAAGAACTGAGACAGCACGTTATGTCGACTCCTTGATATACTGGGATGGGCGATAAAAGCGTCCAATACGATGGGCACCGAACGGCCAAAGAGGACGTACGTAGCGTACTACAGCACCCAAACAGGTGTATTGAGGATCTGAAGGATACAGAGGACCCAATGCGGATTGACTCGTTCGTTCGAAAGCTTTGGCTAAGTCAGACAGCAGCACAAAGCATTGCCGTGTGCGAGCGCCAAGGTAGGTCTGCATAGCCAGGAAATTTCCCTGGGGTTCCCTGAAAATATTGACAAGAGTCTGACTAGGATGAAGGGAACTTGAAGGGCTGAGTACATTTGCACTACACAGCTTGGTCAATGATGCGGTCAGCCGTATTAGGGAGCCCCAGCGGCCGAAAGTTGTCCGCGTACGACCCTGCATCGGCTTTGGGAATGAAGACTAAGGCCTGTACCGGAGCCGGTGTTTGGAGGGACATAGTCATGTAGACGCTGCGTAAGCACACGGGATGCGGCATTAGGCGCCGCCCGGTAGGCCACGTAAGGCAGCCCGTCAAGGCCAGGGACACTGTCCGGAGAGCGTACCACAGCACGTAAGAGGTCATTATCAACAGGCAGGGTACATTTGGAAAAGGGTGGTGGTGAATACTGTGAAAGCACCTGAGAGGCTCCCAGCACTCGTCCGTCCAGCATTGACCTCGTCCTGCAAAGGATTCGAAGTCTAAAACGCTGCGTGGAGGCGTGAAGCTGCAAAATAGAGACCCCTAGATATGCTTGCAATTTGGCTCCAGGTTGCATTTCAAGCGAGCCAACCTTTGCAGGGCTAAGAAAAACCAAAAAAAAGAAAACAAGGGGCCCAAAAAAAGGGGTCCCCGAAAAAAAGGGAAAAGGGGTTTCCTTTGGCAAAGCTTGACATCGCTTGAAATGCAACCTGGAGCCAAATTGCGCATATCTAGGGGTCTCTATTTTGCAGCCTCACGCCTCCACGCAGAGGTCAAATGCTGGACGGACGAGTGCTGGAAGCCTCTCAGGTTGAATATAAGCCATTTGGGAAACCCCCTCTACAGAGAGAGATACCGGGGATGCAGGGATTCCCTGCAGTATCCCTACATTGAAATTCCCCCAGGATTCCTTGCTATACGCAAAATTTCTTCAACACAAGTGCCAACACAATTGCCACTCGTGTTCACATTTCTGCCGCACCAAGCCGCGAAAGCTCCACTTTCCCCGGGTTCCTTGCTATACGCTTAATTTCTTCAACATGTCGGACGAATGTCGGATGAACATGTTCTGGGATTCAATCCTGTTGTGGCCCCAGGATTGCTCCCTTCTTGTGGCCCCCAGGATTGCTCCCTTCAATCCTGTTGTGGCCCCAGGATTGAGGGGAACTCCACGCGGAACTCCACGCGGGCAGCAACCAAAAAATGGTTGGTGCCTGTTTCCAGAGTCATACGAATCATACGGATCATACGGTCATACGGCGGCTTGGGTGCGCCACCCTGCCGCGCCTGCCCGGCATTGAAGCCGCGCCAACCCGCTGAACCCCCACTCTCCCCCGGGTCCTTGCTATATGTGCTATATGTACTATATGGTATAGAAGCCTCCTGGCCGCGCCACCTGCCCGGCATTGAAGCCGCGCCAACCCGCTGAACTCCCACTCTCCCCTGGGGTCCTTGCTATATGTGCTATGCTACTTACACGCCAAGCCGCTGAACCCCGGGTCCTTGCTAATGTACTATATGTGCTATATGGTATAGAAGCCTCCTGGCCGCGCCACCTGCCCGGCATTGAAGCCGCGCCAACCCGCTGAACCCCCACTCTCCCCCGGGTCCTTGCTATATGTGCTATATGTACTATATCTTACACGCCAAGCCCTGAACCCCGCGCACGCTTCGCACGATTTTGCATGGTTTTTGACATGGTTTTTGCATGGGTTTTGCATGTTTGCATGACATCTTGTTTTTGCATGACATGATTTTGACATGGTTTTTTGCAGTTTTGCATGGTGTGGTTGCATGACATGATTTTGACATGGTTTTTTGCACGGTTTTGATGTCATGTGCATGTGGTTCAAGTCCCTAGACAGTGCTGGCACTTAGGCAGTGGCGAGCGGGCACAGGCGGTGCCGAGCGGACACCTAGGCTGGAAGGACGCCCGATGAAAGAGCATGGGGTTTTGGCCTTAAGCTCCAACTCGTCTCACGCAAACTGGGAAACCGATTAGATGAAAATCGGTGGAGAACTCACCAGCTGTCATATCAGACGGGAACGAAAGGGGCCGCGGCGGCTCTTTGGTGTGGACTCCGTAGTTTTTTCTTTCTCGCTCGTGTCTCTGCATGGTGTGCACTTGGTACTTTTGGATTTCTTACGCAGCCTCCTGCATGGAGCTTGAAACACTCAAATCGTGCGACACACACACACACAGTTGACAAGCATAGCATTGGTTCAGGCTCAAGGCCAACCCAAGTTGTAGCATCCGTAGGATTGCGAGCTTTGGGCGAGCGCCCCTGTAAATACCTCAAGTGTTTAAAGTCCCAATCTTTTCTGACGTTCAAAGATCGTCGGAAGAGCTGAGGATTCCGATTTTCATTTTGAGCAGCTGACTTGCATAGATGGAAGAATGTGAGTTGAGAGATGGCTGGTCACGTGTTTGCATAGGCCTTCCCCCGGTGCTGATACAAGTTTTAGTCGGCCTGCTTTGCTCAATCGTCACAATGCTGGTTGGACTCTTCGCCGTTTACGTCTACTTGTCCAGGAGGGCCAAACGACCACGAGCTCGCAGCCTAAGCTTTGGCTTGATGACTTTTGGCTTTCTACTCGGACTTCCCAGCTTTCTGTGGCACGCGGCGAATCCAACACTCCTGCCATCTACGCATGTGGGGCTGCATGCAACCTTCGTTGTGGGTGATGTCATTGACCATGTGGGCTTCGTGATGCTCATTTACTGGGACATCGTGAATGAGGGAGTTCGATTGGCACTTGCCTTGGATCCCAAGGGTAGGAAACTTGGCTTGCGCATGAGCACAGCAATGGGAGTCATTTGCATTGTGGTACAGATCGTTTTTCTTGTTCCCTTTTGGATCTTGATATACACCGTTGACACGGACTGGCAACGATCCACCCTTTGCAGCGCCTTTGCCGTGATGCAGTACGTTATCGTGTTTGGTGCTGTGCCATCATTCATTTTTGGGACGTTAGCCTGGAGGTTGAGAAGTTTGTGGAAAGATTTGCCTGGAGACATACCTCTTCACTTGCTCTACCGCTTGCGTTACACGCAACTCTGCCTTACTTTGCTGACGCTTCTTGGCGTAACGGACGGCATTCTTGGACTGACAGTGGCTTTGGTTCCCTTCTTCACAGTATTATCTGGCTTCCTCTACGACTGCGTGGCCTTGCTTTCACTGAGCATACTCACGCTGGTGCTGTTGGGAATCGAAGTGTTTTTAACATATCAGAAAGCCAGACACAGGACTTCCGGTTGCCAAATTGGAAGATTCCAACTCGTTTAACTTCTCTCTGATGCAAGGGGATTTTTTACGCCAGGACCAACCGTCCATGTCAATTGGATGCTTCCGAAGTACTTGGAGTGGTTCAGAGCGGGGTGTCCCTCTTGAAGATCACGAGCCCAGCACCTTCAGCGCCTTGCGCGCCGCCAGCGCCTGGCATGCGCCCAGCCGGCCCAGGTCTTTCCCGCACCTGGAGCCGCCTGGGCCCCGTGATGCCTCCGGTCTGGGAACGTGGCTTGGGCCAGGGCATCGCGGAGACTTTTCAGGAGATCTATGGAGGCGCAAGGGCAAAAGGGGCTCGGGGCCGGCTTCGGGTAGTCGGTGAGATTTTGAGTGGAAGATGATGTGGTGCAATGGTCATGTCCCTAGTGCCTTGGAGAATCCCATACAACGTAGGCGCAAGCAACGTTGAACAGTAGCTTATCGCATCATTTGCCTACATGTACGTGCACCTCTCACTCTAATCCAGCGTGGTTCGCTTCTGTGTGTGCTAGTTTGGTGGTTCCAATTTGACGTTCAACCCACTTGGGAATCAGAATGACCAATATTTTTGGGATGGGAAACTTGTGGGGTCGAAGCCGATCTAAAAGAGCCAACTGGCAAGTGGATTCGCCTTGAAGTCACAGTTCTCAGTTCATGGCATGTTCCAATACCTGAGGAACCGCAAAATCCAGTGGTGTGGCGCTATATGCCCTTTTTGATGGAATTCTTTCAGCAGTGTTTGATACAACTACAAGATGGATTCTGCTTGTTATTGTTGGGATTTCCATTCCTTGTGTCCAGGGTATGACAATGCATGACACCTCACATGGTTGTTTCATGGCCCTCTTGCATCCAACGGAATATCAGCGCGGTTAAATGGCCATGAGTCAAAATTGGGTACCCCCAGAACCTACAGTTATTGTTGGACTTCAATTAACACGACAATTTTGGGGCTGAGACAATTTTGGGGCTGAGTAAATTTTGATCCATAAATGGTTCCATACCCAAATAATTTGGGAGAACCTCAAATGCCAGGAACGTTGAACTCCGCGGATTGCATGGAAGACTCTTGGTGGCAGTGTGGTATGGCCGCCTTTGGCGGGTAAGTTACGGCTACTTCTGGCCCCAGCTCTCTTTTTCACATCCATCGAGGAATCCATCGTGTAAAGTTGAGTGGTTGCGCTTGACTTGTGTCGTTTTATGTACTACGGTCCAGAAACGACAAGTGGTGGCATGGTTCCAGAAATCAGGTTAATATTCTATTTCAGCAATCTGATCTCCCTGCATTTTTTTTGTTCGAATGCTCAGCAGTGTTGAATATTTTTCGTCCACCCGACTCGATACACATGGGTGTGGGTGAAAAATAGGTACCCTAAATGGAGCCCTGGTAAATGGAACCAAGAACTAAAACCTGCAGTCCCTGGTTGTTTAATTTTGACCCGTACCCACATCATGACATCCTTGCGCAGCAAGGATCCGCCCACCAGCGAGGTTTGCATCTTGGTTGACACTTCATGCGCGCTGCACATACTTTTGCTTTTGTGTCTTCTTTTTGGACTTAGTCCTATCTTATCTCAACTTATTCGAACTTAAATCTTTTGGGTTTGGGTCTTATGCATTTTCCGGTAAAGGGAACCATTATTTGGCTCTGCTTTCGAGGCATTCACCTCGTGAAGCCGATGACCGCGCCGGCCAGATGCTCCATGTGGGAGTGCCTGGCAGCGGGATTCACGTCCAACAGTCATGTCTGTGCAGGTGGGCGAAGAGTTGTCCAACGTCCATAAACCCTCGATTCGGCCACGGGTCAAAGTCCAAATCGTACCCCCAGTTAACATCCCAATCCCCACTCAAATAGACGAAAGTGGGTGGTGCACCTACCCCAAAATGGTACCATTGGTTTTGACCCGCAGCCATTTGACAAATGATGGTTAATGGTGGATTTTCCGGGTGCAATCTCATGGTTAGTGATGGCCTAGGCTCATTTGTCGTGCTGGATTTTGATAATCCAAGGTCCAAGCATGTGAATAAACACCTTGAACCAGGCCCAAGCCCAAGCCTGCCAATCTTGACAGGGGCTCCGCGCAGACGACATTTGGCCAGGCCAACAGCTGCTTGGCATGGTTGGTGGTTTTCGCTCACTCACAATGCATCCCCAAACTCTCGACTGCATTACTTGGGCAGAACAATTTGCTAAACAGATGCTAGCTGAAGTTCAATCGCAACAGGGTGGAGATTTGTGCATCGCAACCAATTCTCCCGAAAGTGAATGTCCATTCCTGGTGCCCTCAGGTTTTTCGATCGAGACATGGTAGGTCTGGGTCCACTCTACCTTCACCAAATTAGACATGGGGAAATGACGTGATTCAAGTCTTTTTTCTATGTTTTGCAAGGAACATAAGGAACTTCATAGAGAAGAAACCTAACATGGACTTTCGATTGTCAGTTGCGAGAGGGCTCATGGGCCGTGCATGGTGACTCCCCTGGGTCAAGGGGAGTCCTTGCTGTCACCAAGGTAATGGTTAGTCACTGCTGGGCAAGTTCATACCGAGAGCTCATGCTGATCATGAAACGCTATGACGACAACACGGATAGGCCAGGAGCTTTTTATACACTTTGCATGTTGTGTTTTTGCTCTGTTTCAGAACAGCAATGGGATTTGGGGATTGTTTTCTAATTTGAGGCTGTTACATGTGTATGTTTAGCCGGCAGAACCTCAGGAGCAACTACTTCTTTGTGGATGTCTTCAGCATGAATCAGCATGATTTTGCGGACCTCGGCACGTACTCGGAGAGTGCTGAGCCTCCAGACATGTATGACATGATGCTCGATGCCCTGACGCGATCCATTAAGGTTCCCGGCTGCATGTTGTTGGCTATGGTACCTCATGAAAACTCGAAGATGCTGACGAGATCATGGTGTCTCTATGAGATCTACATTGCATGGAAAGTCAAAGCTGAAGTTTCTTGTGGCTTCATTCCAGAAGCTGAGCAAGTCATGAAGCAAAGCTTGACAAAAGACGACCGCTTCATCCGCCGGATGCTCAGCAAAATAAATGCCGAAGCGTCGTCCGCCACCGTCAAAGCCGACCGCGACATGATTCTGAAGCTTATCCACAGTGCTGGGGTTGACAGGCGGGCACACGAAACAACTGCTGATGGGTACCACTTGTAACATCTTGTAACCCATGATTTCGTGGTGATTGGTCAGATTGTGGCAAAACACATGCTTATTTTGATCGATTTCTATGACGCTGTGAGATTGGGGATGGCTTCCAGCTTTTTCCATGCCTATATTGGATGGTGATATGGGACCCATAGCTAACCATGTCTCCAAAGTGGGCAGTTATGCCATGGGCCATGTCATGACCATGCCTTCCACGCCGGTATTGGAACACAAATAGGCTTGAGAAACCATTGCAGTATTTTCCACAGGGAATAGTACGGGCTTGTTAAAACCGTTTGTTTGATGGCTGAAGCTGGGGGGGGGGTTCAGGTTCAACTCCTTCGTGCGCGAAAAGCTGCGCACCTCATTGCGAGTTGTAGCCTTGACCACTTTGCGCGAAGTCGAGGGCAAGGACATGGAAATCGAGGATGTTTCACTCAGGAGCGGGCGGGTTGGCCAAAGGGAGGGGTATTGGGATTTGGCTGTGGGTCAAAAATAGGGTAACCCCAAAATGGGTTGCCCTGGCAAATGGACACATGGACTAAAACTAGCGGTCCCCTGGGGTTTAATTTTGACCGATACCCATTTAGATGGATTTTCTTGTAGTATAACTTATTCTTTAAAGATATTAAAACAAAGCAGAGGGATCTCAAAATGAACTGTGGGAGCAGAGACTGAGAATGCTACACGGGATTTGATGAACAGGTGCTATATATTTGCGCATTTTCACAACCACCAGAAAGATGGCGTTTTTTTTTTTTTAGAACATTGGACGAGTTCATTGCATGGTCTGTGTCCAGGTGATCCCTCACGTTTTTTTTGTTCCCTCCGGATTTTTCCGGTTTGGTTGGGGGGGGTCGGCCGGTTTCACCGAGGAGCCCGGGGAGTTGGGGGAGTCCGAGCAGCCCGGGGAGCGCTCCGGACACGCCCCGAAGCCGAAGCGCTTTCGTCCATCGGGATCGTGAAGACGAGTCTGATGAGAGCAGCTTCTCCATCTGAAAGAAAAAAAAGCGCTGCTTTGCAACCGAGCAAAAAGGTTTGTAATTTTTGTAATTCTGCAGACTCGGTCTCATGAATGATCATCTCCATGCTCATTTGTGGTTGCCAGTGCTGGTACATGCAGACGTTTGGAATGGTAGCTTGCGCTGGCTGGCAAGCAGTGGCTGTGTTTGGCTAGACACGCAAAGTCACTGTGATCTTCATGGCCACGGGTCAAGACGATGGCACCATAGTGGATCTCAAAACAAGCGGCAAATGGACTGGCTTTCTCATCTCATTTTGACATCATGGATTGTGACATTTTTTGACCCTTAGCCAATGTTCAAGCCATTTCAGGCGGGGACCAGGCTGGGTATGTTAGGTTTTAGCCATGCCAATCATCGTAGTGGAAGCACATCGCGGAGTTATGCCGAGCCAGTTCTAGATGTGCGGGAAATACGGATCACTTCATGATGTGACGGTCACTTTCTGGATGAGTGTGACCAGGTGTGTCTTTGATGGGGATCCTCCCGCTGATGTGTTTTGGCCGACAGATTCTATTTCTTTCTTTTCACAGTTGGATAGTTTTGGGGCTTTGGGGTTTCTAAAGCCCAGCGGGATATCCAATTTGGGACACACTTCGTCCATTCTTGGCGCAGAAGGCAACAGTGAGCTTCGATTTGCATGGGGATCTTGTTTTTGCTGCTGTGTCCGCATGTTGGGCCCATCTTTGTCCCAAAAGTCTCGACGCCGATGTTCGGACCGCGAGAGATGGGAATGAGAATTGGAATGACCCCAAGAAAAAGGCATCCAGTTCCTTTGGTTTCCTTTCGAGAATCCCCGAAGCCAGTTCCTTCCTTTCCTCATTCCCTGCCGATTTCCCACATTCAGCTCGGTGGCGGATTTTTCACGTTTCACGGATGTTGACAAATCATTCTCCAGGGATGCATGAACTGCCATGGCAAGAGCGGTGGCTCAGCAGCTCATTTATGATGACACCCCAACAAATGGCCCGTTCGCAAGAAACAGAAAATACCAATGTGGATCGGATTGGACCCAAATGTGTACGTTGCGAATGGGGCAAAACTGACCGGCATGGCTGCATTGAAGGCTCTTGATGTGCGATTGGTTTGCTGGATTTCCTACTATCATCCTTTGCTTGAGTTTGTGACTGTTTGGCCCCGTTTACAACACGATTGTCGGAACTGACTTGAAGTTGAGATGCCCCAAAGCTTTTTTTTTTCTTTATTATTATTATTATTATTATTATTATTATTAACATCTTTCAATGGCGCCATTGTTCGACGGCGTCCCCAAATGTGATTGTTCCTCTGGGGATGGTGGATTCAAGGCCATCGGAACCCATTGCGACGGATGCGGAGGAGACGCTTGGCTTAGCTCCGATCCATGGAACTGATGGAGAGAAGGTGTGTTCAAAGACAGGGGTACACTCCGGTAATCCAAGGCTTTCACCAAATAGGTCATTTTTGATTGCGGCTGGTTATTTGGTACCCTTGTTCTTTTGCTTTTGATATTCCTATCCGGCATCCGCCCAAACTCAGTGCTGTATCCCCAGAATAAGTAGATTAGTGACCACCAAGAATGTTTCTCCTCATTTTGTGATTCTGTGGTCACCACAATACTGGAGTTTGATCCCACAGCCATTTGTTGAAGTGGCTTAGATTGCCATTGCAATTGTGCGGAATTTGACGGGTCGGGCATTGGTCATGGAACATGATACAGGAAGCTTCATGGAAGTCCTACAACTTAATCAATGATAGAATTCAATGTTTTCCTGCAATACCAGTTGCATCGTTTCCCTCAAATATTGTTGACGGGTTCATTCTTGCACATTTGAGGACGGACAAACACGGCAATGATCCATGTTGCTTCAATGTGGATGTTAGGCCCATGATTCATGATTGGTTGGGTCCACCCCCAAAACCGTGTTTTTTTCATAGGAAAATGGCCATCAAGTATGGGTTGAACGGTTGGTGTTCAAACCATCCATGATTTGCTCCAGGAGATTGGCCTACCGCGGCCCAGCCACTGAGATGGCTCCCAGACTTGTGTTTAAGCAACAAATTTCACATGCGCGTGGCTCAAAGTTAAAGAGCCAGGTTGATGCAGGATTGAATCTCTGATTCTATTTACCAAGGTATTTTTTGGTACCTATTTTTGACCCACAACCACATCTTTCTGTTTTGCAGTCAAATTGCCATGCAAACAAATCCATCTTAGTGGCTGCGTTTCTGGCCGACGCAATTTGGCAAAGCGCATGAGCATGCTACGCGAATTGTCATAGAACATGCTACGCCAATGTGAATCCCTATCGTTCAACGCTGGACTTTTTTTTTGTAAGATCACCATGAGTTGTGTTGTGAGCGTGAGCCTTGCTACGATCAGTGAACTCGCAAAGACTGTCATGCGATCATGGAACAATTTGTGTTTTGATTAGCCCTCAGCACCGAATCGCTTCAGTGTTGTTGCTCTTGCAATTTCCGCGCATGTTGGACGGATTCCTTTATTTGTGACATTTCGCCTTGTGCGCAAAGAGGCGTTGCGTGGCAATTCTTTTCAGTTGCTCTGAGGTCATTGTGCGTGACACACATGTACTGACCTCCTGGCAGGTAGATTTGTTCGTTGAGTTTGCTGGGGGTGCACTGTGACTGCCATGCTTCTCCTCATTGTGGCAAGGTTGTCCGATGCAGTTTGGCTTGAAGGCTTCGAGGTCTTTTTTTGCCGATCGGTCGCAATGCTGCGCGTGGTGGCAACTTGGATGGGCGTGGCTGCGCAGCAGGTGCGCTCAGAAATCAGCTCCGGGGCAAAACAGCTGGTGTTCAGAAAGCGCACCATGTGTTTGCCTGTGAACACTCGGGGACCCTTCCATACTTCAGAGCTTTCTCATGTCTCTGTGCAGCATCAACTCATTACTCCAGCTTTATGGCAGATGTTCTCTGCTTTTGCTTGTTGTTGTTGAATTGGTGCCTGTCCGAACCAGTTTCGAACATGTTTCTGGCAAAAACTGGAATCGAGCATATGTGCAGCGTGCCTCTAGTATGATTCTACGTCAGAGACATGTCTAGCACGTCTCCGAATATTCTGAACCAATGTTCAGCCGAACTATGTCTGGCATATTCCCATATGCTTTATAGCTCTTTGCGGCATAGTTCCAACATATGAAGTATGGTCAAAACTACTTCTGTTGGCTTTAGTATTCGGCGTTTCATTGATATGGTGAGAATGCAAACGATAGGGGACTCTCAAAAGAACGATACCCCTGAAAACCAATGGAATCGCTGGAAAACGATAGGGGACTCTCAACGCCAGTAGCGAAACGGCCGTAAGTAAGATTTCGACCGTGCCTCATATGTCCATCGGGACCAACATTTGTAGCGCACCACGCTGTGTCTAGCAGGCTGCTTCCAACACAGGTTTAGCCCGTTCTAGTCTATATCCAGCATATGCTTTGCGTGAAGCTTTTAAGAATGAAGCACATTTGCATCACAGGTTGCAGAAACCTGGCACAGTGTGTCTCTGCGGCGTGTCTAGCTTTCGCCTATCATATATGTTCTTACCATTATCAGCAAATTCCGACTGGAATCGTAGTACATGCCTAGCGTAGCCCTGGCATGCGCTTGGCATCTTCTAGCACCCCAGTATCAGCTGCTCTGTCATGTTGCGACAGGTTGATTTAATTTGGATTTCGGATATTGGACTATCATGAATGCAGTAGCACGAATCGAGCAGCATGAATGTCACCTGTGTCTAGCCAAGCACATGATTCGCATGCTGCTAGCACTACCTAGCATGTGTCTAGCTTAGCTGGATAAAAACTCCACTCATTGCCAACAGAGTTTATCAGTGTTCAGCATGAGTCGTGTCCCCCCAGCGAAACGTGGCAGGTGGGGACCCACGTGGAAGAGTTCCACCCGGAGATGCCGCTTTGGACCTGCGACGGCGCCGGGTGCGCCAAGGAGGCGCGGTGTCGGAGATGCCCGGAGCATGGGATTTTCCCCGGGTGAAACGCTGTTGGACGGCCCCCCTTTTTTTTTAAGGGGTAAACCAGGGAATAGGGGAGGTTTGGAGGTTTTGGGGGGGAAGGGCCTGCCTTACCCTGTTGAAAGGTGTTTCTTTGTTGGGGCGTGGGCGGGAGCGGTTGAAAGCTGCGCCCTCGGCAACAGCAACGGCCCCGATTTGGGTTGGGTCAAAATTAAGCCATCAGGGGACCGCAGGTTTTTGTCCCTGTTTCCATTTACCAGGGTTCCATTTTTTGGTTCCGATTTTTAACCCACAGCCATTTTGAGACACGCCCATATTCATTGCTTGTGTTTTTTGAGGGGGACTTGAGATTATTCAGCTTCGGATCTTTACGACATTCCAGTGTCAGTTGCAAGCACCTAGGTGTGTCTGCTTTTGAGTGTACCATGTTTGTGGTCGTCTTAATTGG